TAACCATGAATACCAGAATGCTACCTGTACAAGATCTAGTTAAGTATACATACAGTTTTGTAAACTAATAAAATTTGTTATTTTGTAAACTTTAAGTAGTATTTTATCAATCTGTTTTATAATCCATGTACACCACAAGTGACTGGCTTCTCTTATAAAACATAAGTTTCAAAACTCGGGATATAACAAAAATTTATTCTGCATGCTTGAAAGATTACTCTAGCTATGTGACTTTGAACAATACTGGATGACATAAATATCAAAATGGTTTACAAATTATGTAAGTACACCTAGTAGGCTATACTTCATTAGTTCCAGGTTTACAGTTGTGATATCGTGAGATGTTATATTGTGACTTTATTTTAGGCCTATGTAAGACGGTAATTAATTCTTTATGTTATTGTCATTAAGTGGGTAATGAGTCACAAAACAAATAATCAAAACATTTCAGAGGTGGGGCGCCAAAAGTGTTTTTCCCCCGGGTGCTGAGAACCCTTACTATGCCACTGACACCACTCACTGCCAAGTTTTGGACTACTCTTTACCAATGGAAACTGGGATTGGCCATCACATTTTAAAGCCCCCACAGCTAAAAGGGAAAGCAGGTTAATAATGGGATTTGAACCTCGACTCACTGATTGCAAGTTGAGTGCAATATCCACCAGGCCAGGCCATTTTTAAGGTTATTTATGATGTGATGAATGTCACAAAGTTCTACTTAACAAATAACCTTAAAAATGAATACTTCAATAAAACAAATATTTAGGAAAACTAACTTAAAAATAGCAGAAAAAGTTTGCATAATACACGTATTATATCAGCACTAAATTTCTTGTCATGTGAAAAACCACAAAGAAGTCGAACACAAACTTTATTTCATAAAATTTTAATTGTATATTTTTTCTAAGTTTGCAAGTTGTAAACTAGTGATCAAATACCTTCATGGGAGGAAAATTGTGGTAAGGTGCTTTTCCTGTCACTAATTCAATAGCAGTTATCCCAAAGCTCCAGATATCTGCCTTAAAATCATATCCAGTTACCTATCCAAAATGATATGGATTATTAAGATGGATGAAACATACATGCTACTTCAGCATATACAGCCATAACAGTATACAGTTATTAAACGAATCTATACATAAATATTAGTCACTTCACAATATATACAACTTATATGTAAATTCCTTCAAATATTTCAAAATATTACTGTAAAATGTCTTTTGTAAAAACAGCCCTAAAAATTTAAATATTAATATAAATAATTATTTGTTTGTTTGGTTGCTTTACAATAAAGTTATGTAATAGGGTATCTATGCTCTACCCACGAAAGGAAATCAAAACCAGGATTTTAGTGGAATATATTAATGTTGGAATATATTAATACAAGGGTATTCAATAATTTATTGCTGTTGAACAGTGTTTAATTTTGGACTAAAGTATTACTGTTCATAAGAAATAATATCACGTAAGAATACTAAAAAAATGTCAGTAATATTTTGGAATATATGCAAGCAGCAATATATGTCAATGCTGTTTAATTTGTGTTACTAATTTTTACCCCTGCATAATCACTGACAACTTTACAACTGAAATGGTGGATCAACAGTAAAAGATGAAATGATAATTAATGAAGATTAAGAAAAAATTCACAAGATTCTGCAACTTTAATTGAAATGTTCTAAGTATACAGGTACTTATTACTCAGGTGCCAAGTAATACAAAGTTTTGACAGAAAACTTCTAAAACAAATTATTGAATTTCATAAAATCATCTATTTCTGTGTACAACAAAATATTACCTGTTCCATTACTTCAGGAGCCATCCAACATGGTGTTCCAACAAAAGTATGGCGAGCCTTTTGTCGTGACAAATCCCCTCCAGTTGCAAGCCATGAACTTACTCCAAAATCTGTTTTAATATATTCATAACAAAATCTTTTATTTTGTTGAAAACATGGAAACAATCTTTAAATGTTAAAACGTAAAAGTTGTTTTCATCTGTAAATGGAGATATATTGTAGTGAGCTTCTTTATAGAAAAAATAAATAAATGTATTACTAAGATCAAACATTCAAGTTATTTTAATGAATACATTGTTTGTTACAAACTCTCAAAATCAATTAGTTTAATCTTGAACTATAATCTTTCATATGAGTACACTGTGCAAATTAACCAGTTAAAAACAATGGTTGCATTCTGTTGTTAAAATGAATAGAAATATTTAGTAGTTAATATTGCATGTTATGCCCCCCAGTGGCACAGCAGTATGTCTGCAGACTTATGTCACTAGAAACCGAGTTCCAATACCCGTTGTGGACAGAGCACAGATGGCCCTTTGTGTAGCTTTGTGCTTTATAACAAACAACAACATTACATATTATTGAATCAATTCTAATAATTGATGTATAACAATATTACCCATACAGATAATATCATTTCTAGTTCAAAAAATATAATGTTGAAGGTAGTTAAATAAACAACTCAAGAAAGGTAACTTACAAATACTGCATGAAAATCAAGAGCTTGTATGTATTTTTTATTATTACTTAAAACAATATTTAATTTTCTCAAGTTATAACTATGACCATATATTCAATTAAATCTATTATTAATGTATTAATGCCAAAAATATATTTCTTCTATAACTTATGTTCCAAAACGTTTTAAACCTGCCTTTAAACCTTGGTGTTTTAACTTTAAAATTACATTAAATACTTGGAAATAATGCATGCAAGTTCAAAGACAAATTTATTAAACTACTCAATATACACTTAATCACTTAAATAGGAATATTCAAGTCACATCACAATTAGATATGTCCAGACAGTTTATGAATATTGCTGAATTCTGCATAGCAAATATTAGTTAAATACATAGTTAATGTTAGTCTGTTTATCTCTGCCATATCTATACATAATTCAGTACAAAATCTGAGAGAGGCACAGAGGAAGTACCAGTAACATATTTGATATTTTCAACCTTATGGAAAACATAGGCTAAATAGCCAGGTCAGGAACCCATAAGGTTGAAGCACAGACATCCCTAACTGAGAACTGCTGATCAGATGGAGGGCAATTTCAATCATCATCATCTGCTACCTAAATCACTAAATAGTACAACTCGCAGTCACAATTATGATGCCTCCATAGTGAACAACACATTTCCAGCAGCACATTATGGTTAAGATATTAGCACTCTTTTTATAGCCTGACACATTAATCACTAGCGCACACCCGGTTCAAGTGCCAATGAGACAAAATACTTCTTTTTATATAGATATATATAGTGGTACACTAATATTCATTTTGATCGAACAGAGTAATTTGAAGCACTGAGGACATTATTTGTTTAAGCCTAGAAAATATTAGCTCCAAAACTAAAAAAAAACACCTGTGACAACTGTTTATTGTTGCATTTTCTTTGAAACTGCTCTAATATGTTATTCAACATATAGACCAACAGTTTTGTAAACAATAACAATAAACTATTAAAACTATTTCCTTATTATGTGTTACTTTTATTGAAAAAAAAGACAATATTCCTAAAAAAGAAACATACACAGAAACATACATATATCGTACCTGCTATTTGTACTGTACCATCGTCTCCTAACAAAATATTACCAGCTTTTATATCCCTAAAAACACACACAAAAAAAATATATTTCTATATCAAACCAAAAGAAAGGATACATATAATTATATATAAAATATTCAATAGGTTTTTCATTACTATCAAAACAATTAGGATTCACATACAAACACAACCAAACTTATTTGAATTTAAAGGCTATAATAATACATACAGCCATTTATTTTTAATTCACTTATATTGTGGATTTAACATTTTTTATGCTATATCCATTTGGTTATGTAACACTTAAATCACCAAGTAACATATTTTCAAGATTTAAAATATCAATATCTGTTTAACTTCAACAGATTTATGAATATTTTTACTTACAAATGTCACATCAAAATACCAGACATACATGTACTATCACTCTGATTTTTCATGTCATGATCTTGTATACGGTAGGAAGGTATTGTTTTGTATACCGTCAGAACTTGCATGCATGATGACACAGGCAATTTTATATATAACATTCAACACTTAAAATTACAATAACCATATAATACAATAACTAAAATTTCCTGTTTAGAAATTCCTGTTATAGAGTTCAACTACAGAAAAGTAAAAATGAAAACAAGTTTTTTTTTATTCTTTAGCAAAAATTACTGTTTAAAACACAAAACTTTATATATATATAAAAAAATCAATGAATTTCAAAACTGTAATTAGCCATCAATTTCTGTTCTTTTTCAAAATCATTACTTTCTGAAATTGAATAGTGTTTATGTAATCTTACAAAAAAAGTCTTAGAACAAATTTTTACATTTAATTCCTAGTTCTTTAAGATTGCTTAATACAAATGACTAAACTTCTCAAAACTGGTTAAATATGATATCAGAAAGAAAGAATCTTAAGAAAAAATCATGGATAAGAAAACAGATTTAATCCAATAAAGTAATCATTAATGCAGATCTTTGAAAATCCACAGTATGAAAGTGTTTTTCATGTACGGGGTCTGACTACAATTTTTTACTACTAGAAAGTTAAGATCTACACATTGAAATTCCTCAATTAATGTTTGTTCATGCTTTTGTGTTGTTTATCTTTTACTGTGTGATTTAGCCAGTCATCTGGATTGTACTAGGTCATTTTGACAACTATAAAGATTAAAGGTTTTACTAAATATGACAAACTTATGATTATGTTAAGTGAATATCATACCTATGAATCTGTCCATTATTGTGAAAATATTCCAAACCCTTTGCCACTTCTTTCAGCACTGTTGCTATGGTAGCTTCATCAAAAACCCCATGGGTGCAGTCTTCCCTTTTTACCTTGTGTTGAATGATATCTAAAAGTGATCCTGTAACATAAAAAAGCTCAGTATATTACAAAAGTTAATATTAAATGAATATTTTACATATATTTAGTATCCTTATTTATAAACTGTGCTTGTATTGTTGTGAGGAAGAAATATTATTCTAGTGAAATATTCTTCGTTATCTTTTTTTTTTAAACCAGAAATTTCATGAAGCTTTCTTGATTTGATTAAAATATTGGCTTTAATATTTTGTAATTTATTTCAGTTGTCAGAAATTTTCTTTATATTTCACGAAAATATCCAACATTTTCTAAACCAGACAGTTTTTTGTTAGTTTTTAGTTTTGCTGAAAGTTACCCAAGAACTGTCTGCACTAGTTGTTCCTAATTTTGAGTTAATAGACTAGAAAGAAGGCAGCTAGTGAACAGCACTCACTTCCAATTCTTGGGCTATTCTTGTCTAACCAAATAGTTGGATTGACTGTCACTCTCATAATTCGCCCACAGTCCCAAAGTGCAGAACACAATATTTTTCATGATAACAGGATACTAAACCAGTTACAAAAAGTAACATATTTGTGGTGAACCATTAGGCCTAGCTGCTGTGGTATTCACATAAACTGATGTTTGACAGAAAAGTTTTAATTTTCATTATGCAGATACAGGGCTGTTAAGCATATAATAAATCAGACACAGAGAACAAAAGAAAACAATAAACACAAGTGAACTCGAAAACAAAACTCTTTATTTGCATTATTGTTTATGTCACCAAAATGATGAGGCTTCTATTTTTTGTGACTATTGTCTGAATGTTGAGGTTTAGAGCAAGAACATAATAGCTAAACAAAACCAAAAATTAAAGATAGTCAAAATCAAGAGATAGAATCAATGAAATATACCACTGCTATACTCATACCAAAACCTTAGTACAGTTTTCCCATAAGGCTTTTGATTACATATTTCAAACAACAGACTATAAATAGTTATAAACCTATCAAGCCTTGTACAGGTTTCTATGTCACCAATTTGAAAAGGCTACCTTTGTGGAAGGTCCATATAAAAGTGTGCATATGTGTATTGGGTAGCATATGTTTATGACCTTGCAATACCTGGTCAATACATATGCTATTAGTACACAAAGAAACAGCATGGAATTTTAATAAATTATATGAATATACCTGAATAAATATGTTCCATATCAGTTAAGGAAGGGTGAAATTAATAGCTACAGGTACACTTGTAACTACAAAGCTGGCCCATAGACCAGACTCCAATGCTGTCAGTAAAACATATATGATCATTATTATCTAACTGTGAAGAAGGAGCTATAACTAAAATCCTAAAAGTAATGCAAACTTCTGTCTATCCATTAACATATGTCAGTGATACTGGATAACAAAAGTGAGAAATTTTTTTGAGGGAAGTTTGAAAAGGTTCCCTCTGATCTCCAAGGTCACATAAAAGATGTTAGAAATGTCCTTAAATCTTGACTATGATCTAGAGAATATAAGTCAGTATATCTGAGAGGGAAAGAGAAGATTAGTGGAGGTCAGTTCCATACTCAAATTTGAGGGATCAAAACAACCAATTTTTGAAAATGATCAGGACAAGGAGTGAACTAATCAGTCAGACAGTCGAGCAGCACAATATTCAAGTAAAGCAGGGACTGAGTTAATATCATTTCAACTTTTTTTTGTACTGATATTCCAACTCAGAGTTAATAAGACCTGGCAAAAGGTTGCATGTACCAAAAGAGCAATAACCTTATGAATAGTTGAAATCTAACCCTATATGATGCAACATAGCTACCAAATTTCTCTAGATCTAAAACACAGTGACCCACAGAAGGAAACAGTCAGATATGAAGCAGGAACCAAGATGTGAAAGTATCATCCCAAACAACTTAGCTAATTATTTAAGAGCTTACTTGAAAGATTCTGTGAAGCTCTTGTTCAAATTAAAGAGGGAAGTTCTTCATGACAGCTGGAAGTATACACTAGTACTTAAAGGACCATGATCATTTCCTGAAAGAGCAAGCTAAGGCTTGAAGAGAGCTCTACTGGCTAATAACCTCAGCTTGCAGTTAAGGGTCTCTGCCAAAGATCCAAAGGCTAGAGGCTGAAAAAATGAACCCCAAAAGTTTCTGTTGATAAAGAAAGAGGACAACGGAAACTGGTTTAAAAACAACGTGTAACAAAACACAGGCATGTTAGGTAGTCATACGCATACCGGAAGTCAAGAAATTGAAATGGAAAATTCCTTCACTGGATGCAGGCAAAAAGTCAATATCTCCACCCTGTCTTTCAGTGTATAATTGCATGAAAACGTTTTGATAATAAACATATTGCAAAACTGCTGAATTGATAGGGAATAATCTATCAAGAAACATTATTTTTTTAGATAGAAAGTGTCCAAAGAATAGACCCTGGCAATTAGTTTCATTTGCTAATTAATTAATATTTGGTCTCATTAATTGACTGCATTAAATTAATCATTTATTCTCACATGAGATAGCTAAAAACAAATATGGTACTAAAAATCGGGTTTTGATGTCCATGGAGGGCAGGGCACAGACAGCCCATTGTATACTTTTGTGTTTAACAGCAAATAAACATAATGGCAATACTGATTACTTGGATAGTTGGAAAAAATCAAAAACAGTAATAACTGGAAACAATAGTTGATTGCTTTGTGACATTAATCAACTTAATCATAATTTTGACTAATCGATTATTTTATGTGACACTAATCATGTTAATAAATGCTCATAGGTTATATTAATTGATTGAGTTAATCACCCAGCTCTACCCAATAATATGGATCATATTGCAAGTTTTATATTAATATCAAGTTTATACAAGACATTTTTATTTAGAGCTTTATTCAGGTATATAAAATGTGATTTCATATATTTTGCCTGAAATGGTTGGTTAGAATTTTCCAAATCAAGTTATATGTAACAATGTTCCATCAATGAAGATTTTCAGAGCTACTATGTTTGTAGAAGAATGACACAAACAAGTTACAGAAGAAATGTATTAAAATTAGTAAAAAAATTTACTTGAAACATTAACAAAAGCATTATCTTAGATAGCTCAAATGTCTGACAAACTATTTTTAATATGTGAACACTTATTTTAAAAAAAAAATATATTAAAAATGTTTTTGGGAATTGATCCAATAAAATTTACTAGACAACTTTGAAACTGTTTAAAACAAATTGTACAAGTAGATAAAAAAACTTTTCAAAAAAAGGAAGTAAATGTAGGGATGGCTAATATCAATCCTTCAAAAACTATGCAAACAAGATAGCAGGGATGGCATTTGCAAAATCCCTACATAATAGTCCAGGCAAGAATTAACATATAGCAATATATATATATATATATATAT